CGTGCGGGCAGCTAAGATCCGTGCGAGAAGGTGTCTCGGGAGTTTTAGTTCTGCAGGGCATCTGGAGGATTTGGTAACCAAGAGATCCTGATAGGATTGCGGGGCCTTGAGCTACCAGTATTCCTGGAGGGCAGTTATAGCGTTATCCTTTGTCTGCCGCCTTAGTGAGGCGTACGAGTGTTTGCTTGCAAGAGGAAGAGGCATACCTGCTCTCTTTTTAGCAGCTTGATCTGCTGCTTTATTCTCTGGTATTTGCATATGTCCAGGGACCCAGCAGATCTGTACGGAGCTGCTGCCGGTGTATAGATATCGTTCCCGTGTTGACCAGGATGAGGCGAGGTCTCGGAAGGTATTAAAGACCTCTTGAGATGAACCTGTAGATGGTGAAAAGAGGCGCGTAGCTACCTCTAGGTTATCTAGGCAGATCTATAGGTTGGTAGCGAGATAAGCTGTAGTCAATTTAAGAGCTGTTTTGATTCCCGCTAGTGCTGCTTCAGCCTCTGCATCAAAGACCTCTTTGTTGGGGCCGAGAGGAAAGGAGAACTGTTGGTATAGCTTCCTAGATTGATATAGGGTAAAACCTGCGCCTGCCATTCTATCTGCTAGTTTTGAGCCATCTGTAAAGACTTTTATATCTGTCTGAGGGAGAGAGGCATAAAAGTCCTGGAAATTACTGGCTGCCTGTTCTTTAGTCTGGCCCGTTTCAGGAGCTCTGATCCGCTGTTGAGCTGCTTCGCGTGGTTCTTGCAGAAGCCAGGGGGCATTTTGCAGAGGGTTGATTTGTTCTGATTTCGGCAGGGCTCGTACTCGGCGTGCAAAACGGCTTCTCTTGAGGCCTGTGCGGGTTATCTCTTCTGCCCTCCTGCGGAGTGGGTGATAGGGGTCGAGACGGCGTGTGCGGACTGTTGCAGCAGCAGCTATATAGTCTAATTCAATCTCTGCTGGTAGGAGCCCTGACTCCCGGTAGAGAGCAGGTATTGGGGTTGTGCGGTAGACTGGGAGGACTGCTCTAGCCCCTGCTAGTATAACCTTAGTTACTTTGTCAAGGTGTCCTTGGACCCGGTTTGAGATTGTTCCTGTGCGTAGATCAGGGCGGGAGCTGCCCGGCCACCAGGTTTCAGCACTATAGTAGACTTTAGAGAGTACGCAGGCCTTGATTGCTTGCCGCATGAGGTAAGGGTTAACTCCTCGGACTGTATTGCTGAGAGAGCGAAGTGCGTTTGCTACACTTAAAGCTTTTGAGGCCATTTCTCCGATATGGTATTTAAAGCTGAGCTTTTTGTCGAAAAGGATTCCCAGCCAGCGCAGATATGGGCGTATTGTATTCTCTTTAACTGTTACAGTCCCTGCAGATACTGATGGAATGCGGCTAGGATCTTAATCAGCTCTGTGCCGTAAAAAGTGGAGCAGCTCATATTTGTCTGGTGCAAAGGTTATCCCTTCTGACAAGCCCCAATCCAGGGCCTCTTGCAAGGAGTTTGACAGGGTTTGGCAGTTCTCCCATAGGGTAAATGATATTGCAAGGAATGCTGCGTCATCTGCATAGCCAAATCTGGCTCGGGGCTTGTCCAGCTGGAACAAGGGGGCTATATAGAGCATAAACAGGATGGGGGATATGGGTGAGCCTTGCGGCAGGCCGCAGAGTATGTCGATTAGGGGCCCTAGTTCACCGTCTAGTCGGATCTGCACTGTGCGGCCTGTGATAAAGGAAGCTACCCAGCGAATCAGGTTGTCAGGCCAGCCCTGCGTGCGAAGTCGGTAGACTAGCTTGCCAGGAAGGACCCCGTCAAAGGCGCCTTTGATATCAAGAGTGAATAAGGAGGCAACCTTTCCCTGGTTTAGTGCTAGCTCTGCATCATGCAGTAGGCACGTAGTTAGGTCGACTGCTGAACGGAGAGGTAGGGCTCCGAACTGTTGGCTAGCAAGTATCCTGTAGCGGATTGCAATCCATGCCATGTTCCGCGCCAGGAGGCGCTCTAGGCCTTTGCCTAAGACTGAGAGAAGGGCAATTGGCCGGTACGACCTGGGACTGGACCAATCCGCCTTGTTTGGTTTCTGGATAATTGCCAGGATTGCATGGCGGAAACATTGCGGGTGGTAGCCTACTGATAAGCAGCCCTGAAAGAGAGCAAGAACTCTGTCTCTAATTATAGGCCATGCTATCTTGAGTATGCTAGTCGGCAGTTCATCTTTTCCTGGAGTTGTATTTCCTGCGTGCAAGATAGCTTTCTCTATTTGGGCCATAGTTATCTCTGGGAATTGCAGGGACCTGGATGGGACTGCTGGTGTATCAAGTGGTATATCTCCTGCCTCTGCAGAGTTCTGCAGGAGATTGCGGGCCAAGATATCACGTTTGGCTTGTACATCAACTGCTGGTGGGACCCGGTCTTGCGTACAGAGGTCTACTACCGATAGCCAGGGGCGCAAATGCGCTGGATGCGGCGAAGCGCACGCCGCCTGGTCAAGAGCTTGCACGAGATACGTAGCAGAGCAGGAGCGGGTGCAAGCTGCAGCTCAATATCGGCAGCCCCTGCACCGCATCCCGCCCTATCTACAGGATCATTCCTCCGTGGGTAGCGACACGGAGACCTCTAGCCCGCCCAACAGCGAGGGGCGGGCTGCAGGATCTGGGGGAAGAAGAGAGAGATTGACCCGGTCAACCAGCCGGCCAACAGAGCGAAATCGCTCTACAGTAAGGTTTCAAGAAGGATCTACACCGCCACACAGCTCACAGGAGCTTGTCCCTGTGCAGCATAAAGAGGCCCTGATAGACCTAAACCCGGAAATGGACGTAGACCCTATCCCGTCCGAGTCAGAACCGTTGATTGCCCAACAAATCGATATGATCAACGAACCAGAGACGCCCGCACCAGTGACCCCTGCCCCCAGGGGTCGCACTCTGAGCAAAAGGCGCTCCCGCAGCGTCATCTCCTCGGAGATAACAAGGCAGCGCACTAGACACCAGGTAGCGCAGGAAGCCGTCTGCCTTACCAGCCTGCCTGCTACAGAGGACACTCCTCCAGCGAAAAGGGCCCAAAGCAAGCAGTCAACCTACCGAAAACAACCAGTATCGACTAGCGATACTTTTAGCGATAACGCAGTAACTGCCCTTCCGAAATCGCCGGAGGCACCTCTTATCCCTGCACCTACCCCCTCAGAACATTCGACTACGATCGTCCTGGCCGAAGATAACACGCCTGGCCGTTCAGTATCA